GCCACCTCATAGGACTTCGGCCACACCCAAAAAGCTTTGAGAGGCAATAAGAAGCTTTGTTAGTGTTTTTGGAGTCAAATATGACTAGATCTCATGTGTATGATTGGGTATATGAACTAGAACCGCAACCGGATCCCAAAAGCTAAAGAAGTGTCACTCCGTTTAGAAGCTCCAAAACTAAAAACTCATAGGAGTTCGGCCACACCCAAAAAGCTTTGAGAGGCATTAAGAATCTTTGTTAGTGTTTTTGGAGTCAAATATGACTAGATCTCGTGTGTATGATTGAATATAAGAACTAGAACCGCAACTAGATCCCAAAAGCTAAACTAGTGTTTCTCCGTTTAGAAGCTCCAAAACAGACAACTCATAGGACTTCGGCCACACCCAAAAAGCTTTTAGAGGCAAGCAAGGAAGGTATAGTAGTCATTCTCGTTTATGTAGATGATATTATCATCTCCGGGAATGACAAGGTAGGGATTCAAGAGACTAAAACCTTTCTTAAGAGTGTTTTTGATATAAAAGACCTTGGTGAACTAAAGTACTTCCTTGGGATAGAAGTTTGTAGATCAAAGGAAGGTCTCTTCTTATCTCAAAGGAAGTACACTCTTGATCTTCTTAGTCAAGTAGGTAAGCTTGGAGCAAAACCAGCTAAGACTCCCTTGGAAGACGACTACAAGGCCAATCGTAAGGGGGAGCTTGACAACAAGCCTTTCGAAGATGTCACACAATATCGAAGACTTGTAGGTAAGCTCATTTATTTAACCATTACTAGGCCTGACATTTGCTTTGCTGTGAATGTAGTAAGTCAACACATGCAAGCTCCCACGCTACATCATTGGAACATGGTGAACCGCATCCTCAAATATCTCAAAGGAGCTCCGGGTCAAGGCATTTGGATGGGATGCAACAAAAACACGGAGCTGGTGGGATACTGTGATGCGGACTATGCTGGAGACAAAAAGGATAGGAGGTCAACCACCGGCTATTGCACATTCATTGGTGGCAACCTAGTTACTTGGAGAAGCAAGAAGCAAAAGGTGGTCTCCCTTTCAAGTTGTGAAGCCGAGTACCGGGCCATGAGAAAGCTCACAACTGAACTTATGTGGTTGAAAGCACTCCTCAAAGACTTCGGAATTGACACACCAAAGCCAATCACCATGCATTGCGACAATCAAGCCGCCATTCACATCGCCTCAAATTCAGTGTTCCATGAAAGAACGAAGCACATTGAGGTGGATTGTCACAAGGTCCGAGAACAAGTTCAACTTGGAGTCATCCTACCTTGCTACACCGATACTGAAGAACAATTGGCCGACATCTTTACCAAAGGAGCTAGCACCAAAGTTTGTGAGTACATTCATCACAAACTTGGCCTCGTTGACCTTTCTCGGCCATGATCCTCTTAGCCAAATATCCCATACTCTTTTTCCCTAAGTGTGGTTTTATCCCATGAGGTTTTCTACACTTAGGTTTTTAATGAGGTGGTTGAATTTGGATCCAAGTCTAACCTCCATCCTTCTCCGGTTAGACTTGAGGGGGAGTATTGAATGAAGTGAAGAAACGGGAAACTTGTCTTCCAATCGGTCTTGCTGATCGGTTGCACAACCGATCAGGGTAAGAAAAGGTTTTGCCGCTTGGTTGTGTAAATCGGTTGCACAAACGATCGACGCATCATATAACTATCGATCGGTTATGACGATCGGTTGCACAACCGATTTAAGATCTCGCCCGTACGGCCAGCTTTTAAGTCCGTCCGTACGTTTGGAGTTTTGTCTCGGCCTGTGATGTTTTCTCTCGGTCATTTAGCCTTGGATCCTCTCCAAGGCCCTTCTAGAAGCCTCCAGACCCTTCCCGAGTCTTCCTTGTAGCCGTTGCAAGTTCAAAAGAGGAAGAAGACAAGAGTTGCTTTATGCTTTACTCTATGACGTGTTGCCTTATCCTTAGACGCGTTTTCTTTCTCCTTTTAGGTCTTCATGACCGTTGTAAATAGGATATCCTTCTTGGATATTCCTTTTGTATCCCCTTTAAAAGGGAACCTATGTAATTACCAAATCAAGTAAGAAGAGATAATCTCTCTCTTTCTCATCTTCAAATCTCTTTCTCTCTAATCTCTCTAATCTCCATTTCCGCTTATTCTCAGTCCCATTCTCGCAACCTAATCTCCACATTCTTACATGGTATCAGAGCCATAAAGCTCCACATACTCGATTCTTCTTGCAAATCTTCTTCTTTTCCAATCTTCATTCTCTTTTCGATTCTTCTCACCATGGAGAACACCAAGATTCGTGCTCCAGTCACCCTCAAAGGAGGAAACTACTTGCTTTGGGCAAGAACCATGAAGACCATCTTGTGCGGTCGTGGATTCTGGCCTCACATCATCAAGAGTGAAGCACCAAGAGAGACAACCACGAACGAAGATGGCTTGGAGATCGCCCTTGTTGATGAAGACAAGTGGTTCCAAGAAGACCAAATGGTCTTATCAGTTCTCCAAAACTCCCTTGAAGCATCAATCCTTGAAGGATACTCCTATTGTGAGACTCCCAAGGATCTTTGGGAAACTTTGCAAAATGTCTTTGGAAACCAATCCAACCTAAGCCGTGTTTTTGAGATCAAGAAAGCCATCAACGAGCTGACCCAAGGAGACATGGATTTCACTCAACACTTTGGGAAGTTTCGGTCTCTTTGGGCCGAGCTTGAGATGTTGAGACCCAACACTCTTGATCCGGCGGTCATCAACGAGAGGCGTGAGCAAGACAAGGTCTTTGGTCTACTCTTCACCTTGAGTCTGGCGTACAACGACCTCATCAAGCATCTTCTCCGTGCTGACAAGCTCCAAAACCTTGAAGAAGTGTGTTCTCAAATCCAAAAGGAGCAAGGATCTCTCGGGTTGTTTGGTAGCAAAGGAGAGCTTGTCTCGGGCAACTCAAGTGAGCTTGCATCCGCCAACCGTGGGAACTTCAATGCCAACCGTGGGAAAGCTCCATGGTGTGATCATTGCAAACGGAGTGGACATGCCAAAGAGAAGTGCTGGATTCTTCACCCTCACCTAAAGCCAGCACGAAGAGAGCCAAGAGCAAACCAAGCTACCGGAGGGAACCTTGGAGGCCAAGAGCAAGCCGGAACATCAAGTCAAGCCTTGGGAGGAAATGGAGCCGCAATGATGGCCTCTTCCGACCTTGTGAGACGTTCTGACCTCGACGCACTCATCAAGGCTCTCAAAGAGTCTTCCGGTAACGCTTATCATGCTCTTAGTGCTTTAAAACCTCTTATTGTTGATTCGGGAGCCTCTCACCATATGATTAGTGACTCTAAGTTGATGAATAACATTGAACCAGCTTTGGGAAATGTCATAATTGCTAATGGTGATAAGATTCCGGTTAAAGGAGTAGGAGATTTAGAATTGTTTAGCAAAAAGTCTAAAGCTTTCTATATGCCTACCTTCACTTCTAACTTGTTATCCGTTAAGAAAGCTACTACCGATCTTAATTGCTATGCTATCTTTGGTCCTAATGATGTTCATTTTCAGGATATTGAGACTAGTAGAGTGCTTGGTCATGGAGGTACAAAGGATGGTCTTTATGTTCTTGAAGATACAAAGCTTTCTACTCCTCTATCTTCTCACTTTAGCTCAATTCTTGTTAATGCGAATAATGCTATTTGGCATGCTAGATTAGGACATCCTCATTCTCGTGCTTTAGGTCTTTTGTTACCAAGTATTTCCTTTAAGAATAATGAATGTGAGGCTTGTATCCTTGGTAAACATTGCAAATCCGTATTTCCCAAGTCTAATACTATTTATGAGAATTGTTTTGATTTGGTTCATTCGGATGTTTGGACTTCACCTTGTTTATCTAGAGAAAATCAGAAATACTTTGTCACATTCATTGATGAGAAGTCTAAATATACTTGGTTAACTTTGTTACCTTCTAAAGATAGAGTTCTTGAGGCTTTTATCAACTTTCAAAACTATGTCACTAACCATTACAATGCCAAGATCAAAATCTTTAGGTCCGATAATGGTGGTGAATATACAAGTCATGCCTTCAAGCAACATTTGGCCAAGCACGGGATAATCCATCAAACAAGCTGCCCTTATACACCACAACAAAACGGAGTAGCGGAGAGGAAGAATAGGCATCTCATGGAAGTGGCAAGATCGATGATGTTCCACACCAATGTTCCTAAACGTTTTTGGAGTGATGCGGTGGTCCTAGCTTGCTACTTGATCAACCGGACACCAACCAAGATCCTACAAGATTCCTCTCCCTTTGAGGTACTTAACAAGAATAAACCGTCTATCAATCACTTACGTGTGTTTGGTTGTGTTTGCTTTGTCCTTATAGGTGAACAAAGAAACAAACTCGAACCTAAGAGTGTCAAGGGCATGTTTATCGGGTACTCAATCGTCAGGGTTCAACGCTGCAGTGCCGTTCTTGGGCCCACTTGGACAACCCTCTTTCTTTT